CCTCCACGTCGTCAGACAGCTACACTTCTACACTGCAAACTTGCTGGCGAGCCAAGTCCATTCATTCAAATTTATCCTTTCTTCGCTTTAATTTTCTCCTCTACTACCGACACTACCTTGCCTACTCATTTCTCATTCAAACAACCAGTCATTCAACTATCACAGCTAGCAGCTACTCATCTTTAAAGCCTCTTCTTCGCTAGCTCCTTCATTTATGCCACAACTATCACGTTATCTTGCACCCGCTATTACCGCTGCTCTTATTTTTGTTGTTGCTGCTGCTGTTGTGGTTGTTATTGCTGTTGCTGTTGCTATTGCGGCTTTTATCTTTGGTGTTGTGTCACAAGAGCCGTTGAGGCACTTTTGAAAATGCTTAGAGAGCTTAGTTATCAGTGTTGATGGCATTGAAGGAGCATTTGTAAGCTAGCTGTTGTTCATAAGCTTGCCAAGATAGTGTATGTATATGTATATAGGATGTTTGTGTGATAGGGTGTTTGTTTATATATAACTATATTTACAAGGTTATTTGGTCACCATTGTACGTTTATTAAAATTATACAATTTTTTTCACTTCTTTCCATATACCAGCAATTGCGTGCGCCTGTCTAATAGCATATCTAGTGTACCACTATTTTTCCTAGTCATATGTATGGTACATGTAAATGTGTATACTGTAAGTGTTTCGGCATGTTGCCGCAGACACTCTGTTAATGGCACAATAACGTCACTTCTTTCCAGTGGTCGCAGACGAAAACGATTTACGCTCCTTACAAATATATATGTATACATATACATATATAATACTGGTATACTGGTAAGTATGTAAATGTGCGTTAGTTTACGCTAAACTAATTTTTTTGTATAGAACAATGCGGGTGGTCATGGTGGATAGACACAACAAACAGTCTGTTAGCCATTAAAAATAATCACTTATACGCCCCGTTGATCGAACATAATGTTATGTAGAGGAGCATGTGGTTCATTCTTAAATCGTTATTGTGTGAAATGTGTTAAATTAGTAGTATGAAACAATATCTGTTGTCACAGTAATTATTGTCACCAACAAATATTAACAGTTTTCCTAAAAAAGATTGTTAATACGAGTATGTAAATCTAGTAGGAATTTTGTGTAAAATTCTGTGAAAAATATTTATATAAATTGAGGTAATATTTTTAGAGATTATGATATTTTAAAACTTTTATTATAATTGCATTATTGCGCTTATTTTTTATACATTAAATTTAATTATACTTTTTTTTATTCGTAGTTAGTTAATTATGAATTTTCTTCATAGGAATAACTTTAAACAACCACAACCGTGTGATGTTAGACTAGCAAGCAGTATAAGCGCCGTATAAAAGTCCTTCATTTTCGCCAGTTTAAATTGGTGTTATTCTAACCATGAAGTTTTTGTGGATTACAATTTGTAGTTAGGACACAAAATATTTATCTTGAACAGGGAGTTTTATAGGGGCTAGATCTGTCATAGTGTAATATATACCCGTATATGTACACCTATAATTGATTAAATTATAATATACTCGTACGTACTCCCTACCACCAAATTTTATTAAACCTTCATACGGACGAAGGAATAAATGAACAGTCAATAAATTACAGGGTTTTAATTCTGTTTAAATCTATATAAATTTGTATGGGTTTAACTTCTCTCTTTTTAGTAAAATCGAACATCGGGCCAGATTTATGGAATATATAATTACATTTATTATTAATGATCCAATGTAAATTTTCTATAATTTAAAAAAAAACGGTCATACAACGATTAGTGGCGTGAAAATAATTCAGAAGGGTTGATGATTTCAGAGTATATTTATACATATATATATGGTAAGCATCTGGATATTTTTCCAACAAATGAATGGTTCTCTAGTTTCCACTAAGCCTGGCCTCCGAACGGCCGATGGTTCTTTATGAGGAGCCTTTATGTCATAACTACACTTGGAGGGGTTGACTTTCCCTGCCAAACGGCGACCGCAATTCGAAAACTTAACTTAACTTTTTATTTAAATTAATTTTCGAAAGTTTTGGATGATGGTCGGACCAGGACTCGAACCCTGGTCTGGCCAAATGGAAAATTGTAATGCTAACCACTCGGCTGTCGAGGACGTGCGTAAAAAAATAAGAATTTTTAAGCATCAGAACAAATATTTCATCTATTCAAGTGATTGATTTAGACGCCAGATTTGTTCCAGCGGAAAATAGTAGCTTCTACATATGAATAAATATGGGTTTAATTATTTCATAAGATAATAATGAGGTTATGTTCAAAATTTTTGAATGCCTCTTACGTACTTGAAATAATATATTAACTTTGGTCCGAAGTATGTAAGTACCAGCAGGTGAAGGGTTCGGCCCATCAAAAAGGGTCAAAATGACGAGTTAAGTTGATTTAGCCATGTCCATCTGTCTGCCTACTTGTATGTATACTGGTCCTTCAGATTTTGAGTTAAGTCAACCAAAATCGGTATCCAAATGCAATGGTACATTTAAACGATCACTTTACGGAACCGGCAAGATCGGACCATTATAGCATATATATGACCGATTTTTCAGTAATAAATTGATGTTCTACATTCGTAACTATAATTAATATTGTTTTTATTGTTGTTGTAGCAGCAAAAACATTCCTGCAGTACTATTAAGAGAATGCTACGGGAGTAAACGTCCTTGGTGGGATGAAAATCAGTGTCATCCCGTTATAAAAACCCGACTGCCGCGGTAACTTTTATACGTCCCCGAATGGCTGATGTGTTTTTTACGAAGAGCCTTTATTTCATGACCGGAAAACACTCGAAGGAGTGGACATTCCCTGCCGAGGGGCGACCGGAATTAGAAAATGTATCTTCATTTTTTATTTAAAGTAATTTTCTATAATTTTTGGATGTTGTTGGTAATGGGATTTGAACCCGAGCCTCCCGAATGTCAGTAGACCATGCTAACCACCAGTTTTAAATATTCGATCTTTTGTTGAACAGAAGGTGGAAAGCAAAAGGTTCTTTATATGGTATAAAGTCATAATTATTTCCCAATTGTGCCTACATTTAATTTGTCTTTACACTAAACAATGTTTATCATAAGTATCAAATTTTATCAATTTCTGTGCAGTGAGTTCTGAGATATACTCTTAGACTTAAGAGAGAGTGGCGCTGCGTTTTGCTTCTAATGAAGTCCGTGAACCAAGTTGCATCAAAATAATTCAATCTTTACTTAAATTATCGCTTACACGAACAGACTGGCGAGTAAATGGGCAAGCAAAATGGCTAAATCGATTTGGCAAATCATTCCATGAAGTTTTTTTTATGTTGTTATATACAACCATAAGCTGAACTACCTAATGTACTCTGTACATACTACTATCGAACATAAATAAAAGTAGTTTAACGGTCGCTTATGAATATATTATGGAACTAAGAAGCTTGAAGCGAAGACATCAAGATCCTTTATCACCTTAAAGTAATATGTCAAGTCGAGCTCACAACTCAAAAAGGTTTGCTTAGACGGTCAGGTAAATTTTAAGACTATTTCTAGTTGTTTACGCTTTAACAATAAATCAAAAAACCATTTATAGGTGCTCCCGATCAATCAAATTAAAACAGATTCCTGACCACAGCGACATAGCCACCAACTGGTAATATTAAGTGAGATGTTAAAAAAGGTCACAAGGGAAACACTTTTGTAATAGTCACTTGATTCATGAAATAACGAGCGTTGTTCTGTTAATTTTTTCGGATTAATGGAAACTCTCATAAGCAGAAGTCTGAGTTCGCCTGTGCTGGCCTCTTAACAAATGTCATTGCCAATACATATCCTTTCTTGATTCTCCTCTAGAACTCATATTTATTATTATCAACTTAAAAAAAAATTGTATTAAAAATGTAGAAGATATTTCATATATTAAACGTAACATAACATTTGTGTTCTCCTCAGCTCATTGCTAAAGTTGAATTCATTGATGAAAGTTATGATTATATTTTTGTTTTTGTACCTAACATTTGCAATATTGTGTTCATTTTCAAATAAAACGCTGGAATTTCCCTGTATTTGAGTGTGAAAGCTTCATTGTACTAAAAGCTCTGAGTGAAGACAGTGGGCTAATATACAACAAAATGCATGGAAAATATTTAATACATTTTTGTTAGATATTTTTTACATATTTTTCTTATAATAGAATAAGAAAAATTATTGACTATAGATTTTGATAGTCTGGGAAAATATTGCCCATCAATGCAAAAGAGTGTAAACATAAGCGGAGAATCGGTAATAGGAAATTATATACAACCAGAATTAAAAGAGACCATAAAAAGTCCGGAATATTGGTCAGCACAGCTCTTGCAAGCCAAAACAACTTTCCAACCTCAAGTGACTTTTATGTTTTTTGCAATAATAAAAAAAATTGGACGAAGAAAATTTTTCAAGAACAGTAATAAAAACAGGCTATTTTGCTCATTTTGAGGAAAAAAAATTTTTTTTTTTCAAAAATTTTGAAAATTTAGTGAGCCTATTCAGCGTATTTTATTTTACTTACCATAAGAAAGTTACGGGCCTCCTTTTTATTTATACACTAAACGTATGAGGTACACCTCAAAAAGTTTTAATTTTAATTCGTTTTAAGTTGTTTTTACTTGCAGTCAAATATGTATGTATATACGCATATATTATTGTATTTGTTTATTTACAATACTTTCCCTGGTAGTTTGTTACTCATACGCCATGGCTTCACAAAATTCCTATGCATGTACAATATATACAGTAGGTTTGTAGTTGAGTGCACATAGCAACGCTCTCCTACTTGTATAAAGCGTCCTACAAAATTTATTGATCCAGCGGGAGCAACAAAATCGAAATGTTCAATATTAGTGCTGTGCCAGTCTTCTCTAATTTTGCGATACTTTTGAGAATATTATAACTATTAAATGCTGCGTGGGAAATAAATTAATTGGAAATAAAAAAAAATAGTATAAAAAATTATATAAAAAATATGAGTTTAACCAAAATCTACCTACGATATTATCCACCAGGTAAACTATTTTTTAATCTTTAATATAAAACAATTATAAAAAAAAACTTCATATCATAGGTTTAGCGCTCAATTGCCGCACCACTGATGGCAAGGAAATGCTGAATCATGTCGATCTATTGGACTTAAAAGCCAAGTGTGCATAATATTTACACTTACAAAAAATAATATTTACCCTTAAAATGTATTTATTTTCAGCACACGTGTGGAGCACGTTATAAATAACATTACAGACGAGCTACAAAGCCAAGAAGAAACAAACCGCAACACAACAGCATTGGATGCTGCTAATGGACATCAGCTTAAAGAGGCCTTGGCATACGTTGATTCTCCGCAAAAAACGAATGGCCACACAATGAACGAATTTCCCCTACAACAAATAGTCAACAACTATACAGAACCGCTACGGCAGGCGATTGGCAAGCTGCAACGTAAACTATTGGAACCCACGCAAAAGAAATTCTATATGCATCGGCGTGTCGCACACCTGTTGCCACTGACCAACGTTTGTTTCGACAGAAGTGGCACACGTTGCTTGACCGGCAGCTATGACCGTATTTGTCGTATTATTAATACACAAGATGTTGGTGAGGCGCAACTGTTGAAGGGACATGATAATGTTGTCTTCTCGGTGGCCTTTAATCAACCAAAATGGTATTTTCCATGGAGTTTATATGAATTTTTACACTTTCATAATTACACGCAACTTATATTTGCTTTCAACAGCGACAAAGTGGTGACGGGCTCCTTCGATGGCACCGCCAGAGTGTGGCAAGCCTCCAATGGCCAATCACTGTGTACGCTGTATGGTCACACAGCCGAACTGGTGATGGCCGAATTCGATCCCATACAGTCTACTAAGGTGGCCACCGCTTCAATGGATAGCACAGTGCGTCTTTACGACACGGAAACAGCGCTAGAGTTGCAGTTACTGCGACATCACGGTGCCGAAGTGATTGCATGTCGTTTTCGTCGTTGTGGCAATATGTTGCTTTCAGCTTCCTTCGACAGCACTGCAGCCATTTGGGATATACGCAGTGGATGGTACTAAATAATTCATTTATTTATTTTAACACATTTCTCATTCTTTTTTTTTGTTAATATCATATGCCCAGCCTCGTCTCCCAGCTACGTGGTCACACTGCCGAATTGAGTAACTGTGTTTGGAATTTTTCATGTATTCACATTGCAACTTCATCGCTGGACAGTACCGCCCAGTTGTGGGATGTGCGTCGTCTAGATGCGCCGCTCTTTAACATCACAGGACATCGTGAGGAGGTGCTTGATGTTTGTTTTAACTCTAGCGGTTGCCGTTTGGCCACCTGTAGCAGTGACTGCACGGCACGCGTTTGGAATGTGCGTGGCGATTTGGAGCAGCTCGCCGTCATGGAGGGTCATAACGATGAAGTTTCAAAGGTAGACAGTAAATATTTATGTTATAATTTGCTACAGTATTACTGCTGCTGAGGTTTCTACAGGTTTGCTTCAGTCCTCCCGGCGCTCTTCTTCTGACCGCGTCGGCGGACAACACTGCCCGCTTGTGGTTTACAGAGAGCGGTCAATGTTCTCAGGTTTTGAGCGGACACGATGGTGAGGTGTTTTCCTGCGCCTTTAGTTATGCTGGGGATATCATAGTCACAGCTTCGAAGGACAACACCTGTCGTTTGTGGAGATGATATGACTGGTATACAGTGGAATTTAATGATAATGAATAAGAGAACGTCTCCTAAAATGTGATCAGTTTGTAGTGGATAGCTATAATTATAGCTTTTATTTTTTTAACCGTAGTAAATACCACGGAGTTTTATATAAAAATGCTATGGTCAAAATAACAATAATACACCTTAGACACCGCGTTTTATTGTTTTAATATATTTCTATGTAAAACATTTGAAATATAACATGTATCAACTTAGATCCGTTCCTTCGCTGAACTATATCAATATCATCGCTCTTTCGACGAGGTTAGACCATAAAAAAGATATCTGGATGAACAGGTGGGGGGACATACAAAAAATAAGTGAATATTACGCGGAGACTCATCACAAGGGCAGATGAAGACACAGTTCTTTTTAAATTACACTTTCTCAATGGCTGTCGTCTGGCTATAAACTGTTGTTATGACTTGGTATTGCCTACTTGCAGATGAAGACACTTTATTTCGTTGATTTCTCAAGCTGCAATATTGAATGAATGTAGAGAGCTAATTATCTTTGAGCTCAAGTTATCAGCAGTTAGTTAGCATATTAGGCACCCTTGACATGACGCTAAGAGCTGCATAGGCAACTTATTTTGGTGCCTGCCGAGGCGGGCTTTTGCTCAGCGAAAAAGAGGTTAGTATTGCGTACTGTCATTCTGAAGACTATGGCTCGAGTCCTGGTTCGACCAACGTCCAGAAAATTTACGCCCCTCGAGCCACAATATCCACCGCTCCGAGTGTTTTTCTGACATAAAAATCAAAGCTTCTCATAACAATCCATCGAAGGAAGAGCTCCATCCAAAAACGCAAAGTTCCAGTTAATTAGCAAGATTAATTTGTTTGCAAAATTAAAAATCTTTATTAATACTTCTACATCGATTCCGTTGTCATCAAAATATTCCTCTGATTGCGCCAACGCTTTTTCCAATTATCGAAACATGTTAAATAGTCACGTTCTCATATGGCCTTCAGAGAGCGGGCCGATTCCCGTTTAATCTCCTCAGTCGACTCAGAAGTCACATAGTGCTAAGCCCGGCGAGTACGGTGGTTGGGGAACGATATTCGTGGAATTTTTAGCGAAATAATCACTAAGAATGAGTGCTGTGTGCGACGATGTATAATCGTGATGCAAAAACCAAGAATCGTTGGTCCATAATTCTGTTCTTTTTTTGCGAATTCCTCCTCGCAAACGACGCATAACTCTTAGATAATATTCCTAATTTACACCACGTAAATCGAAGAAAACAGTCAACATGATCTTGATTTTTGACGTTAATCATCGTCTCGAGCGCCCCAAGTCATGAACATGTTTTCGACCCTCTTTGAAGTCTTTGTAACACGTTCTCCTGCGAAATAATTGAGTCCCAAAAGGCTTTCTGTAGCATTCTCAATGTTTCAGCAGCCTAAATTAGTTCCGCAAACAAAATTCGATCGCACTTCTTTGCTCAATTAAATCAGACTTTATAAAAATCGCCAGTCACCTTTAGTCGTTTTATAAACACAAGCGTAACTAAAATAACAATGATGACATTGACATTAAATTTGGCGTAGATGTCAATAACAATTAATAATCAATAACATTAAAAAAAAGACCTCGTTTTATGAGGAGCTCTTTATTTCATATCAAAAATATACCCACAGGAGATACGCAAAGTAGCACGCACTGCTGCTACCCACACGGTTATAATGACCAGCAATGGCGGATATATTAATAAGCTCCGAGGTCGAGGTCTGCCAACGTTCACAAATAGGAGCTTAGATACAATATCAGTCAATCAGTTAAAGGACGCAGATTACGCCATTTAGCAAAGCGCACTCGTTCACGACTTCAGTAGTTAGACTATTCTACCCAATGAGCAACCACAGACTGCGGATCCCGTGTTGCATCCCAACCTGAGATAAGCAAAACTACAACCATAACTTTCTTTTACATATAATCTTTGTATTTTAGTTATCATTCATTTATTAACATTCACTACAAACACGAGTGTATATCTTATTACCATTTCTTTTGTTTAATTATTTATTTACTTTTTTGTTTTTGTTTTGGTTTTACTCACTTACTACAACTTATTACCATATTCTTACGTTTTGTTTTGTTTTTCTTTTGTTTTTGTGTTTTTTTTTTTAATTTTATTATTAAGCTTCTCAACTACTTTTATACTTTTTATATATTCTGATTACAAATACATACGTACACAATATACTATGTAAATAGTTCCTGACAGTATGGAAAATTGTAAAATCTTATTTTTTTGTAATTTTTTTTTTTTTTTGTATTTTTAACTTTAAACTTAGTTTGTTGCTTTTTTATAGGATTCGTGTATTTTTTTGTTTTTTTGTTTTTTTTTTTTAAATAATTATCTTGCTTGTAAACCGTTTCTTTTTTCTCTAGTCGTTTAAGGTCGTTGGTAGTAAAAATAAAGTAAAAAAAAATCGAAAAATTTTTATAAATGTGTGTGTTTGTTACAAAAACCAGAAATAAGTTTCGAATATATTTCAGTTGATTTCAAATTGGTGGCCAGAAGAGCTACGATCTAGAACTTTCGGCGGCCACATAAATCGTTTAATTATTTGAAGATATAATTTTCCGTTTTTTTTTTCTCAACTTTAAGCTGTTTATAGTGTTAGACGCACGAGTGGTGACTTGGATGCTCATATTGACGATGATTGTGCGTTTTATGGTAGCCAAAGCAATATTCCAAAACATCGGCAAAGTAAATAATTTTTTAACTCATTTTTTCTTCAGTTTATTTGCAAGTATTTGCGCAGTTGCTGTCTCGTCTTTACGTTGATTTAATAGTTTTCTTAAAAAATACTAAAAAAAAACAGCATCAGTTCCACTTTAACGGTAATTAATTTTCTTTAAACACACATACACAACGCTACAGGCTTATTGGACATACTATTTGAATAGAATCAGATGAGTGTGTTGTAGACACATAGTTGGTGTTGTAGGCTGGTGTTGAGACGAAAACGGTAAATGTTTTAACGTATTTTAATTCTAGAATAATGCATTTTAAATTTTATGTCTAGTTATGTTGGTATATATGTATGTATGCATTTACATCTGTGTGTTGCTTCCACCGTCATTTAACGGCAACACTTTGCGATAGTAAGAAATTTTCGGCCACATTTCATGTCAGCAAAAACAAAAAAAAAAAAAAATAAATAAAATTTGTATACCAAATATGACGTCATATGACCTGGCTGGCTGGCTGCATGCATGAAGTGTTTCCAATTATTTATATGTATTTGCGTTAGTGTCCAACTGAATGCACTCATTGCAGCATTATTGCTTGGCTCTGCTTGTGCAGCCTTTTTTGAGGTGTAACCACTTGCGTCTACAGCCTGTTGCTTGTCGGCAAAATCAGCTCTTAGTCTGCACCGTTGGCGGTTGCTATAATTTCTTAACCCTATACTTGTTGTTGCTCATTTTCACTTGTTTGTGTATTTCTGGCATTTTGCTTGAGTTATTTTCAATATTTTTTTCCTCTTTTTTTACTTTGTGTGTATTTACTTGTTATGTTCCTGTTTTTTCTTTTTTTAATTGTTTTCCTTATATTGTTTGGTTACTTCAGTTAAATTTGCACTTTATCAAAGTTATAACCGATTTGTATTTTTTTTTTTTTGTTTTTATTTTGTTTTTATTTTTCTGTTTTTATCTGGTTTTGAGGTGGTTCAGTGAGAAGGGCTCTAGAGTACACATGTTCGGAAGAGAAGAGAACAGAAAGAAGGCACATTGATTTTTTCGTATAACAATAAAATATAATTTGTTAATGATAATAAGTTATTAGAGTAATGCGAGGAGTTTGAAATGACGCTGGTAATGTTATTACTAAGAGTTAATATATACATATTTACATATATATGTATTGTATGCATAAGAGTGAAATGAAATAGAAAGTAATAAATAAAATGATGCTAAAGCAGTTGCAGGCAAACTAAGCGCTAATTTTGAAATTATTAGATAATATCTTTTTTTTAGTGTTAAGCACATTTGATTAGCCAAGATATTTACACATACATTTAAATATGCTTACTATGACAACATGCCAATCTTCAAATAACTTTTTTTCAACAGTTAAAGCGAAATTCATTGCAGCAACTACTTAATATGTTAAAAAAAAGGAAACTCATTTTAGAGCTTTTAACAGACGAAATTGCTTTGTAGTTACCATTTTTATAGTAAATTGTAATAATGGAAGTTGCTTCTTAGTTTACATTTTAATGTGCTATAAATTGTAATCTCAACTAGTAGTACGTTAAAAATATGTTGTGAAAAATTTTACTAAAATTTAATATGATTAAAAAAAAATTAGAGGTTATGTAATTTACTAACTATAAATATCTAACTTAAAATGTTTTTTTTTTTTTTTTTTGGTTTTGTCGCACCCTTGTATTACATGCCGACATTGAAGCATTCCCTACTTTAAGGAAAATGTTGAAAAGGCAATTCGATGAAGGCAGAAGGATGTAAGAACAGAGGAAGGAATTTTAACGACATTTAAAGAAACAAATCATCTCTAAGAAACATCACTCTAACCGCTTATAAAACATAATAAAACATCCATACTATAGAAAAAAAAATAGAAATAAAAACTTGGTAGAGTGACCGTTAGACGGTCATAAAAATTTACTCATTCATTTTTTATGTTTTTTTTTTTTTTATGTAAATAGCTTTAAAATAGTACATTGTGTGTAAAATAGAAACAAGTGAAATGGAAACCATTCATTTACTCATTCATAATTTGCACCCATTCATTCAGGTTTTATTTCGCATGCGCTATTTGTTGCACTTGAAGTATTCTGTTGCTGCCTCAATTTGTAGCCCATTATAATTTTATGCACATACAATAAATGAAAACTGCAACTGGTTCGTTAAAAAATGAAAATTGCTCAATATTATTATTATTATTATTTTTTTCCTTCTTTTAAAGCATATTTCTTTATGAGGATAATTTTTAAACCGTATCATAAAAATCATTTAACTAGAAGAAAAGAAGAAATAGATTATATTAAGTGTGTGAAAGGTAGGTAAGTTGGTGAGCATAAAAGATGAAATATTTAACTTGTATATGTATATAAGTAAATATGTACATAAATGAAAAATATGTTTGTTATACAATAGCGTTAATGCTTGTGGTTAAGATATGTAAAAAAATAATAATAACTTAAGTGTGAGGATTAGCGTGTGGACAAATGAAATAAGCAAAATACAGCATCTAATAAATATATAATATATGTATATATATCTGCACTTAAACTCTATTAAAGCACTACTAATAGTAAAGAATATTTCAAAAGCAATGAAATTATATAAAATAAATAAATTTTATAATAGTTATTAATGAGAAGTCAAGATGAAAGTGACAATTTACTGCGCACTAAAGCAAAACGATAGAAAGAAGCTAATATTAATATATAATATATGAAAAATAAGCAAATCAGAAATATGAATAACTAAATTAATAATTTGAGTTTTCACTTTTTGTAAGCAATAGATATTAAAAATTAAAAAGTATATTTCGTACTTCGCAGTCCTGATCTGGATATATTTCTTTGAACGTTCGCTCGATGACTGGATATCTGTTTGTGATGAACAAAAAAATAATTATTAATAATTAACTTTATTAGCATACCAGTGTACTCACTTTGACTGTAAACCGCCACCAGGAGGAAGACCTTCAATTTCCTTATTTTGTAGTGCTTGCAACAAATCATAGTACTGTGTGATTTCATTACATTCTATCTCATCTGAAAGGCAAAAGAAATATAGAAGGTCTTACTATGTGCACACAAATTCAAAATATTAGGAAAATATAAAATAGAATTAGTTTTTAATTAAAGCTAAGTGTTAGAAAAACATGTATAAAAGAATTAGAAATAAAATTGTTTGATGGGATATTTTAAAACTAGTATTAATAAAGTAAACTAACTACAAAATACTACTGTGTTGTTTGAAAAGCCTTTATGTTTGGAAACTTTATTCAAAATGGCGTATATTTAAATGCATGTGCAATGCTTTGTTATGCCCTTCAAAAAGCCTATAAGACGATTAAAAATTTATTATTTCGTGGATGCTGGCATTATGAAACAACAGATCTGCGTATGAAAAAAATCGCTAGATTTCGTTTTTATTTAAAATCAGGCTAGCGTTGCGACAGCAGACCAGAGGAGTTGATTTAAATGTATTTATAATTTTGACCTTTTTCTGACATATTTGGTTTATAAAATTCAAGTTTTCTATTATTTTCGAAATTTTTTAATTGAGTAACATTTCTTTAAGGCTTCTTTTAAATTAGTTTAGATATTTAAACGACAAACTTTTATATTCGGTTTAATACATTTTAAGTTGAAAAAGAATATTATGTATTCATATTCGAAAGTGTGTTAAGCTCCAATTTTATATTACGTTAATTTTCTAAGCTCGTTACTCAATTAAAATCTGTAACTATAAAATTGAAACACAAAACATATGCATGCAAATATGTGTAAATAAATGTGTAGAGTATCATAAATAGTATTAACTCAATAACTAGAAACTCATTGGTTCCAATAGCCAATTTCTACTGCATCTTCTTTTAACTTTTCATAACTACAAATTTCTATTTTAATTTACATAAATAAACTTTCTTTAGTTTCATGTTATGGAATTTTTACCGTAAATTTTTTATCTACAAGAGTGTTGTAAGCCACACTACATTTTCACAGCATTACATGCAAATTACTTTAATTAAAAATACTTTTAGATTAAAAAATGAACTATAATAATTAACATTAGTTTCCAAAATAGATTTTGCTTATGTTTAACTATAATTGTGAGTATGATAATAACAATCTTAGTTTAGCAAACAAAATAAAAACGAATTTTGATATAACGTACCTTATGCTCACGCTCTTACTAACCGCGTAGTTTCTAAAAAAAAAAAGCACTCAAGTCTTCGATAAGTTGAAAGGTTTATCAATTTTTTATATCTCTTTTGTTTTTTGAGTTTTATATAACACACTAAAAGTGTTTTACGAGAATTCGTTAACAGTATGAGATGTGTGCGGAAATGCAAATCAAAAAGAAGCAAGAAGAAAAATGCATGAATTTAAAGTAAATAAACAATATGATTCGCAAAGCAAAAGTAATGAATTCAAATACAAAAGCAATGTGGCGTAAATGTAAACGAACGATTGTACGATTTTGTTTTCGAAGTGGCCGCAACTGCTGCCACAAAGTTTTATGTGCGTGTTTGTGAATAGACGAAAGTACAACAACTACTGAGTTTGATTTATTTTAAGTTTAAAATAGGAATTTATTTCTCAATTTGCAAATATGAGTTTGGTCACGCATCAAAATTCATTTTTACATTTTTTAACATACCATTATACTATTTATAATTAGTATTTGGCTTTTTTATACGATATACGTTCTTTTATTTTATAATACTAGTTTGTGTTTAAAATTAAATTCCCTTCATTTCATACATTATTGTACAATACACCTAAATAACTGCTTAAAAGTGGTTTCTTTTTTTTTACATTTCTTATACTTATTGGAGACATGTAAATTGTATATTTTTCATACACTATTGCATTAAACTATTTTCTTTTGATTGTTACGTTGGCCTTATTTATGTGTTTGATATAAAGCAAATTATTTCTGAGTATGTCTAAAATTAAGTTTTTTCGTGAGCATAAGGACGCTACTAGTTGCTAGAGGTTTGCAAATCGATTTTGTTGACTTGTTAGTATAAATAAGCGAGGTTGGTTGAAATTATGATATGCTTCACATTTTTTGAAGTTATATGTGTATGCGTTAAATATAATATTTAACCTGAAATCAGCTTTTTCTATATATCAACAATTATTTTAAAGCATGGGAGTTCTAAGAGGTACTTATGTATGTATTTAAGGAAATTGTAGTATCGATTAAATTAAACTGTAACTACGCTATTTTTTATTTATTTCTACTAAACTGTAGTGAGCTTTAAGTGTAATACTGTTCATTTGTAAACACAGATATATCATTTAAACTCTCCAAAGAATTTAACAAACATATTTTTAGTGCAATTTAGTAATTTTAGTTGGCTGAATTTCTATTCTTCTAATCTCATTTTTAACATTCAACAATATTATTTGACGTAAAATGTTGATATCTACATAATTTCAATGGTATTTAGTTTAATTATTTCAAATAGGTTTCTATATTACATAGAACTATTATGGCAGAAATTTAGATTGCATTGCCTTCTCTTAGCTGAAACCAGCAGCAAGGCATATTTACAGTTAAATATAATAAAAAAAAATTTTAACGTTTGCATTATATGCAAATACTAGATATTGCTTCGGGCAACGCCAACTAGAATTCAAATTTAAATTCTATATCTGTGATTTATTTTGGTTTTAACGCAAATTGGATTAAGTTTTGAAGCAAATTGCGGTAACTGGGATAATGTTTATAGTCGCAGGAATTTAATCCTTGGCAGTCTTTGTAGCAAACAGAGGTCAGAGGCTCTAGGAACTAGGAATCTGTGAGGTTCATATTTTTTTTATAAATGTATTGACTAGATTTTTTATTCGGTGCATACGAAAAATCCTAATAATTAGTTAGTAATTTGTATGCTCATAATGATTAAGAGGAGAGCTCGTCACATTCACATTTACTATCACAAAAAAAAACGATTATAAATAAATAAACTTAAAGGTTTAAGGCCAATTAAACTGGCAAAATGACTAGACTGACTGTTCTGACGTTTACCGTTTACAGTTACATGCTTTAATTATGTAACGGAGTTGATTGTGAAAGTTTTTATTTCACAATCTTTTCTTATTCATCTATATCGGCTAATGATATCATGTGTGTATAAACGCTAACGCACACATCATTCGAAATGTTTAACTATGAAATATATCTACATGTGGTTCGTTATTGCCTATACATTATATGTCCTCAACTGATATATCAATTTACTTATACTATATACGCCATATATGTACTATGTACATAAAGCGCAAAATTAACTACACTTAATACGATTAAAAACAAAAAAGTCGACTTAGACAACCTCTTGTTAATTTCTCAATTTGTTTCTCCAACCGTTTGTCTGCTTCAATGGCTTCTTCAGTAGGTTTTGGTGCGCCTGGGAAAGCGATAATTATTATACTCATATTATCTCGACTGCCCTGTAAGAGTAAAAACAAAAACATTTTAACTTTAGTATATTTTCAATTTAATAACACAGCAAGTTAAGCAACTCTTAGCGTACCTTATGCAAGCAGGTATCAACGACTTGGTTTGCTATATCTACTAAATCGCTAGTTACTCTCAGCCTCGAGTGAACAAAACTACAAACATCCTCATTAGACATGACATCCCATATACCGTCACAGGCTAAAACTAAAAACTCATCTGTATCTTGGCGACTTTGGCAAAAAATTTCAGGTTCCGGCGACACTAGCTGCTCACATTGACCCTTCTCTTTCACATTTTTAAAATCGTAATCACCCAGAGCTCTCGAAACCGCCAGTGTACCATTGACACGTTTAATCATTACACTACCACCAGCATTGTGTATACGCTCTTTTTCTTCGGGCAGTATCGGTTTGTGATCTTGTGTAGCAAATACCGGTACACCTTGTCGACACAGTACCGCACGGGAATCGCCACAATTTGCTATGTAAACTTGGGTCGGCGAAATAAACGCACAAACTGCAGTTGTGCCGCCACATTTTTCTGCATTTCGAGTTAATTCGGGTAAATCTCGCATGACTTCATCAATATGCAAAAAACCGGTGCGAATACCCTTCACGTGATCACCATTCTTAAATTCATCCGTACTAATGATACTACCGAGGAGATGTGAGGCGCAATGTTCCGACACTTTACAACCTGCATGCCCATCGAAAACGGCAAAGAAACTCCAATCGTCCAAACCGCTTCCGAGACCGGCGCGTGCATAGTACGCGTCCTCCATTTCACAACGCCAGCCCTGCATGGAGCTAACGCCGAATAGAAGTTTATTTCCTTCGCCATGGTCGTTATGTTTGGTAGTTTTTGGCTTATCCAGGAAACCGCCCATCGCCTTTGTGCATACTGTGTTTAATGGTGCGCGGGTAGCAAAATATTTGAAGCGTTCGGTGGTGCGATCGCTTGAGTGATTGATTGGCGATTAGTTTCACAATTTCTTTTCTTACAACTTCGATTTCTATTTAGCGTCGACAGAATTTGGTATTAGCTTTTGTGTGGCCACTTTTGGAGTTCTGTGTATTTCGCAGCTATCTGTAAATCACATCAAAGTAACGTATCAAATGTTGTTGCAAGAAATTAACTAAAAAAAAGGTTACTTCTAATGGAAAAAATTATTTGGTCATTAAAATATAAATCTTTCTCTTGCAGACACATTATTGATTACGTATTATAACTTTGATGATTATATTCTATGGTAGAGTAATATATATTATTAATATGCTTTTAAGGCAGTACATAAACTAAAAGCAAGAAATTTTGTTAAAACGTCACTTGAAAAATCAATGATTATACAATTTACAAAGACGAGCACTCTTTATGCATTCAACTCTTTCATATGCCTAAATTAAAATGCCTTTTGCCAATGTTAATGGCTGCGTTCGCGTTGTCATGTTGTCCGATCTTTGGGAATGCAAACAAAACAAATTTACACCGGACAGGCGACAAGCTGGCTAACAAATTGCAACGCGCACCATAAGTATTGAAGTTGGTATATGCAAGTTCACATAGGTTTGTTAAATAAGTATACAGAATTACTTGGTCGTAAGTTTTACAATTAGGCACCTTTAGAAAACTACTTATTCCACCTTTTTGGATTAAAATCCATTTCAAAATTATATCACTTTTTATTTCTTCAAACAGATACACATATATAGGCATATATTCATATATGTATATTTCAATGTACACTACACAGTACTTTTCAACAAATTACTTATGTACTGCATGTACTTTTCAATTATTTTATTTCCGTAATCTACCTTTTCTGGTGTTCTGGCGTTTGCAATGATTATGTGAATGTACAATTAATTTTCTTCTGTAGATTAGCAAAATAAAAGAAAATGTTTGTGTATAAAAAAGAAAAACACAGCAAGCCCGTTAGTGTTCGAATATGAATAGAAAAACCAAATGCCCTGCTTCTCTTTTCATATGTATGTATGTATTTTGATTTGGTAACAAGCGGAGCGTTCGATTGCATGTGCCAAAGAGGCAGCTCCATTTGTTAGCAAACGGTATGACTTGATGAGAGACCGAATGCAGAGCGCAAAGGAAAATTGACAAAAAAAAAAAAAAAAAAAAAAAAAAAAAGAACGAGTACGAACGTACCTCAAATGTTAAATTTTATTTACTTTGGATGTTACAAAAAATAATTATGTATATATATGTAATTGTTTAAATAACGGAACATAAATATTTATTTGTTATACAAATAAATGTTTATAACCACATTATCATATTCATAATGCCTTATAAATCCTAATCACAACAGTTCTGAAAGAGAGGAACTCTTCTATAAAAAAAAATAAAAATAATCGGCTGATAAATGCACTATTCATTCGTTTACTTTTCTAACGTCATTTTATTGGATTAGTCGAGATAAAGACAAAACTTTTATAAAAGGTGCTCGAGTTTACAAGGAATTCTAGAGGAACATTTTAAGAAATTGTGGTCATAATCCAGTTAATTTGCAGAGTAAAAATTCCTTCTACAGGGTATTAAATATATCAATAATATTTGTCAAGTAACAACCACTTGACAGAGCCCGTTACATTTAGGACACAATACCATGCCAATCTGATGTCAACACACTTGAGTTTGAACACATTGTTGGTCGGACTTGGTTGAAACTCTTTGGGGACGAAGAGGTATACAACAGCCGCAATGATGCACAAAAAAGCCCTTCTCAGGTACATTTGTATGTATGTACATCCACGCACCCACACACTGAGGACGAGTACACTCTCTATTTTCAATGTACTCCGTTCTCACGTTTGCTCTACTCCTCTTCTAAAATTAGAAAACAATATGACAACATCATTAACCAATCGTAAACGATTGTTATGAGTATAGAACTGTGGCCTTTATTACGCGTAAGTTATTGGCGTGAACTGAAAATGCAACTTGGTTGAATTATTACGATTTTAATTAGATATACATATATATTTTTATTTTCAAAATTCAATTCGCTTAACGATATTTTTATTTCAAGTCAATCACACTTTAAAATGAATGAATGTACAAATCAACATGGGCGCGCAAGAGAGAGAAAATCTTTGGTTATGGTACATCAGCGCACGGTCTTTTGACTATACCAATGCCATGCGTTGCCTTTATTTGTTCTAATGTTTGCAAGAGTTTTACAGAATTATTATTATGGGCTGAATATTTTTATGAAAATTTAATTCTTGCAATAACTTTCATGACGCCTCAAATCGCTCACCTCGACTGCAAAGCGTATCAAACTGACTTCGTTAACGATCAACGAGAACGTTTTCTTTTTGTTAAATGAATCTAATGTATTTCGAACATACAACAATTATATTCAAACCACTAAATACTTATTCTTATTTGATAACTTAAATGATGTTTTTAATAACCTTTTGCCAACTATTTTTGTAAAATATAAACGGCACGCAAAAACACGACCACGGCAAAAGTTGAACGGGTTGAACGAACGAGTGAATAAGCAGAATCAGCGAATGCGAAAATTGTATACGAAATTGTAGTTGCCACAAGTAGTAAAAAATAAAATTGTGCTGTTCTGACACCCGATCGGGATTGATATCGCACGGATTCGAATTTTTTTTATCAGAATTGGAAATTCGAAAAAAAAGCAAATCCGATTCGAATTGTCAAACATGATTTGTTTCGTTGCTTTTCTATTGGGAACATGTGTTGGCTTTCCTCCACTTGCTCTGAATCAAAGAACGCACTGTTACGATTTTGCTAAATCAACCTCGATGATTTTCTGAATCCTTCGGGTACGATCTCTGGATTGTTAAATATAAATCGCCAACTTAATTTGCAGTTTCTTTCGTTATAAAGAATTTATCTAATGTCCTTTATTTACTCAGTAACTCACAATTCAGTTACAATGCACTTTACTAGTTACAATCACTTGCATAAACTTTCACACTTTACTTTACTTGAATGTAATCTCCAACGCGTTTACTTTACGACTCTACACTGATGTTGTCGCCAACGAGTTCACTTTGTCACTAACTTGACTTGGCAGCTGAGTGTCGCCCTTATTAGCAGTCGGCTGCTCGTAGACGAAAGTGTAGACTAATCGAGTTGTTCGCTATCGAAGGTTCTCGTTTTATCGTTCTAGAATGTACTACTTATCGGTTTCTCTCTTTCATCTGACATTCGTTTCGCATTTTCGCAACATTGCCCTCCACCTAAGTCTGATCGTCCCGATCAGACATATTCACTGTTCCAAACTCAGCAAGCCTCTCAAGGTGGACCACTTTCATCTTGTTTCTTGGACTCCCAACGGTTTGGATTCGGTACACTACGTCGTTTAGTCGTTTGATTACCATGTATGAACCTTCCCAATTACATTAAAGTTTTGGGGACAAACCACTCTTCCGTTGTGGATTGTACAGCAACACCTAATCTCCATTTTGGAAACCTTCGGAGTTCATTGCCTTGTCATATCTGGCCTTCATTTTGTCACTCATAACTTGAGTTCGCTGTCTCACAAGAGCATGTACCTCTCTAGCTCATCCTCGAGATCGGTAGACGTTACCTTCCTAATTCTTCTCGCATCGCCAGTTATTCCAAATTTTAAATCGCTGAGCAATCGTAGCTCACTACCAAACAGTATCCTCGCAGGTTTTTGCCCTCTAGTTACATGCACGGCGGACCGATATCCCATCAGGAAAAGCGTATATGCACCTCCCAATCATCCTGATGCTTGTCCACTACTTTCTGCAAGTACTATTCCAGGGTCCGGTTGAATCGTTCTACTATACCATCTGATTGAGTATGTAGGTCTGTCGTTCGGGTTTTTCGAATACCAAGTATTTGGCACATCTCCTGGAACTCCGCCGATTCAAAGTTTCTTCCCTGATCTGAGTGCAATTCTATAGGCGCACCGTATCTGTTAACCCAATTGTTAATGAATGCATCCGCAACTGTTTTTGCTTCTTGGTTTGGGATTGGGTAAACTTCAGGTCATTTAGTGAAGAAGTCCATAACCACAAGAACGTATTTGTTTCCTTGTTTGCTCATAGGGAATGGACCAGCTACATCCATGGCAACCCGCTCTAATGGTGCCCCTGCGTTATACTGCTTTATCTGCCTATGACTTCGGGACTTTTGGCCTTTAGCTGCTATGCACTCCGTGCAATTAGCAATCCACTCCGCGATTGCCGACAGCCAACCCAATAGAGCCGCTGCTTGATCTTTTCCAGCGTTTTTGTAGTGCCTAGGTGCCCTCCACTAGGACCGTTATTTAATTCCTTAAGAACATCCGGAATTCTTAACTTCGGAACTACTATTAGCTTTCGGGAGCACTGGCCATCTTCGTTTTCCCACGCTCTATGCAAACAAACGGATATCAGCTCTAAACTGTTCCATTGTGCCCAGTATGCCTTCGCGATAGGACTTTCCGCAGCCGTTTGTTCCTTACTTGGTCGTCTATTTACCTCCAACCCGTGCATTAATAATTCTAAATCTGGATCTTCTTGCTGACATTTCCTTAAGTTACTTGCCTCCCACTCTTCTGCTTGCGTAACTTTCATTAGCCGAACATCTATTATGTCTTCTTTACCCTCCGCTTTTGAGCAATGTTTACATTCTATTTTACATGGTCGACGCGACATAGTGTCATCATTACCGTGCGTATTCACCTTGCGGTGCCACTTCAGCGCTGCATGATCCGTTCTAACTCGGAAATGTTGACCATGCAGATATTTGTGGAAGTGTTTGATGCAATCCACAAAGGCTAATAGTTCTCTTCGTGTCACGCAGTAGTTTCGCTCTGGTTTACCAATAGACGGGCTATAGTAAGCAACTACCTTCTTCTGCCCAAAAATCTCTGGCGAGAGAACACCTCCTATGCCATACCCACTAGCATCTGTGCCCAGAATAAATGTTGCACCTGGAACCGGGTACGTTAGCATAGGCGCAGTGCATAGCCGTTTTTTTTTTTGAAAGCTTGGAAGGCCTCCCGATGTGTCATCAAGTAACCACGAAGGGCGTTTGTACTGTGAAGGAAACAATAGAAGCAGTGAAGGATTGGCCAAGACCCAGGAATTTGCATGAATTGAGAAGCTTTCTTGGGCTGTGTACTTATTATCGCCGATTTCTTCCGAATTTCGCCAGCGTCGCCCATAGTCTCCATGAGCTTACAAGGAAGAATATATCATTCGAGTGGAAAACTGAACAAGCGGAACTTAATTTAAAGTCTTCGATTTTAAGAATATAAGGGGAAAATAAAATCAGTAAGTGAACAACAATTATCTTTCTGGTGGTATGATCTGTAAGCACCCTAACATTTTGTTTTGTTAAATTTTCTGGCTCCAATGCATGCGTGTCCATAAAAGCGAAAAGTGTTCCTTATTATTTCCACTGGCTCTAAAACTTCTCAACTAAATCAGGTGTCGAACAATTATTTCAAATGCACCAATCAGTTGTTACTAAAACTCAAGGATACATTTAATAGCCACACTGATCCAACTTATAAATATATGATTTCGTGTGGGGCTATAAGTAATATACGCAACGATGCCTACAATAAAAGTGATGCCATTGGGTGCTGGACAAGATGTCGGCCGCAGTTGTTTGCTATTATCAATGGGTGGTAAAAACATTATGCTTGACTGCGGTATGCACATGGGATACAATGATGAACGCCGCTTTCCTGATTTTTCCTATATTGTGCCTGACGGACCCATCACTAGCCATATCGATTGTGTGATCATTTCGCATTTCCATTTAGGTAGGTAAAATAGTTCAGAAGCAATTTGTATTGTTCATTTATAAAACTTGTACGTTTTCAGATCACTGTGGTGCTTTACCTTATATGTCGGAAATGGTTGGGTATTCTGGTCCTATTTACATGACGCATCCAACAAAAGCTATTGCACCTATTTTATTAGAGGACATGCGCAAGGTAGCTGTGGAGCGCAAAGGCGAATCAAACTTTTTCACAACACAAATGATTAAGGATTGCATGAAGAAAGTGACGGCCGTCACTTTGCATCAAAGTGTAATGGTGGATAATGAGTTGGAAATTAAAGCTTACTATGCAGGTCATGTGCTCGGGGCAGCAATGTTCTGGTTACGCGTTGGTTCGCAATCAGTTGTGTATACGGGCGATTACAATATGACACCGGACCGTCACTTGGGTGCTGCATGGATAGACAAATGTAGGCCCGACCTGTTAATTTCCGAGAGTACATATGCAACAACTATACGCGATTCAAAACGCTGTCGCGAACGTGATTTTCTGAAGAAAGTACATGAATGTGTGGCTAAAGGCGGAAAAGTATTGATACCAGTATTTGCATTAGGTCGTGCACAAGAACTTTGCATTCTATTGGAAACCTATTGGGAAAGAATGAATTTAAAATTTCCAATATATTTTGCTTTGGGCTTAACGGAGAAGGCAAATACATATTATAAAATGTTTATCACATGGACAAATCAGAAGATACGTAAAACATTCGTTCAGCGCAACATGTTTGATTTCAAGCACATCAAACCATTCGATAAAGCCTACATTGATAATCCAGGTGCAATGGTAGTGTTCGCTACACCAGGCATGTTACATGCTGGTTTGTCATTGCAAATTTTCAAAAAGTGGGCACCAAATGAAAATAATATGGTTATTATGCCCGGCTATTGTGTGCAAGGTACAGTGGGCAATAAGATTCTTGGAGGCGCTAAAAAGGTCGAATTCGAAAATCGACAAGTTGTAGAGGTGAAAATGTCGGTGGAATACCTGAGCTTTTCCGCACATGCTGATGCAAAAGGTGGTACATTATATATTCATATATAGTCCTAAAGTTGACTTTTTTTTTTTTTATATCTAACCCATATATTTTTCAGGTATTATGCAACTAATACAAAATTGTGAGCCAAAGAATGTTATGTTGGTACATGGCGAGGCAGAGAAAATGCAATTTTTACGCAGTAAAATTATGGAAGAGTTCAGCATCGAGACATATATGCCTGCAAATGGCGAGACTTCCGTAATCTCAACGCCTGTAAAAATTCCCGTCGATGCATCGGTTTCTTTGCTGAAGGCTGAGTCCCGCGTTTATAATGCTCAGCCGCCAGATCCGAAGCGGCGACGTCTTATACACGGTGTACTTGTTATGAAGGACAATCGCATAATGTTGCAAAATTTAACAGACACACTCAAAGAAATTGGTATTAACAGACACGTAATGCGCTTTACATCCAAAGTAAAAATGGATGATCCGGGTCCACGCTTACGCACTGGCGAAAGGCTTTTTGCTTTGCTTCAAGAAAAATTAGTTGGCTGGACTGTTAGCATGCAAGAGAGCTGCACTATTTGCGTGGAAACAGTTGAAATCAAAATTGAGGAGGACGAGAAGGATCCAAAACATAAAAATATTCTTATAACCTGGACCAACCAGGATGAAGATATAGGTGCTTATATACTGAACCTGCTTCAGAATATGTGTTGATTTTTAATACTTTGTCAAATTTTTTAATATAAACATTTTGCATTACATAAAATCTTAGCTAATATTAAGAGAAAATACAAACTTTATTACAAAATATAGAATGTTTTTTTTATTACTGTACGAAAATTGTAGAAAAAAACTAGTTTATTTGTATCAATGGATTAAAGTACATATTAAAAAAAAAAGTCACGTCGCACTGGAAAACTCATCTGTGCATCTTGGACAAAAAAGACAGCTGACTAGTCAAGTGGACAATATAATATGGTACATATATTGTTGTTGTCTATGTGGGCTTCGGTCGTCCCACTGGGGCTGCAGACGGCGCGCTTACGGTTTTGCCGTGAAAAAATCTTCCATCACTTATAATGCCCGAAGAGATTGTAGAATTTACACTTGCCGTATTTCCGGCGTTGGAAAAGAGCAATGTATTCACCGACGGTAACTTTTGGCTTGTTGATGTTTGCGCACCCAATGTTGTACCGATCGTAGTCATCGGATTTAAATAAAAATGGTTAATTAACGCTTGCGTGGTTGATGGCAAGACATTCGAATTTGCTGAAATCAGTTGCGTGGTAACTTGAGGCAACAAGTGTTGTAATTCAGGCACCGATTGTTGCAATAAGGAATTATTAAGACTAGTGACTAATTTTGGACATTGGCTGTTTAGTGTGAACGAATCAGTGATAAAACTATTCCCGCAGCTTGTAATCGTTTGGTTATTTTCAATATTAGCAATATTAATGCACTGTATTGTGGGTACGAGAGACGGCGCTGATGACAGTTCAATTGATGCTGGCGATGAATATGGCGACGATTCTAAAGATGAACACAAAATCCGTTGATTCATGTCCTTCAATACACCTATGAGATAAATATGATAATGATTTCATTTTTCCAACATTGTTCCTTTAACCGAAAAAATCTTACCATATTCTTCGTCTTTGATGCGTGTCGGCGACAAATCCACTGGATCAAATTCACTTTTTATTTTGAAATGTAGCGCTGCTGTAGCCTCAGATGATGAAATCGCATTATCGGTGTCCAATGTAACGGAGGGCTGCGCCCCATACAAGCCACACTCTTCCATTTCCAGCGCCTGCTCCATAATGAGTTCTTCAGCTGATGTGATACTGAGGTCTGGAAAACCGCTGATTGCAGATCGAGTGTCGGTTAATATTGATGTGTTGACATGCTGTTTTAAGTTAACATCTGCTTCGGTTATTTCACGTTTTATCGAAAGTAACGTGGGTGCTGTGATAACTTTCTGAACCTGCTTGGGTGAGTGCTGCTTCCGCTCACGCTTTGGTTTGGTAGTTTTACAAGCCTCCGCTTTATTCGTTGTGTTACTTATTGCAGTTACTGTCGTTGCTGATTTCATTTGTTGGGCCATTGACATAGGAATCGAAGTCATAACATTATTGCTATTTGTTGCACTAATTTTATTACTTTTTGCAGACAACGTGGCTGCGGCAATTGTGGGCAAGGGGTTATCATCTCTAATTGCTACTAGAGGCGGCGGTGGTGGTAGCGGCTGGGACGACCCTACTGACGGTTGTGGGACTTTTTTCTTTCTTTTAGTTGCTTGCTTTGGTGTTGCTATAGTTGTTTCACTTTGTGTTTCATTTAAAGCCGTTGCTGACGTGTTAGTATCATTTTCTGCAGTCTTTGTTGCCACCGTAGACTCGGTTGACACTGAATTTGCCTCAGCAGCAGCAGCAGCAGCCTTTGCTTTGGCGGTTTTTGTGGACTTTTTGGAACAATAAGAGGGAATGTTTTCCAAATGTTCACCAGTTTTGTGATCGACTTTGTGGCGACGTCGTGTGTGTTTCAGCCAATTTGGAAAGTTTGTGAAGTCTCTTGGACAATAGTTGCATTTGAACGGCCGTTCCCCGGTATGAATATTTGAATGTTGTTTGAGTTTGGAATTACTAATGAATGACTTATCGCATACGGTGCATGCGAATGGTCTTTGCTCGAGATGGACGAGATTATGTACCTTGAGACAGCGTTCGGTTTTGTACATTTTGCCGCATTTTTCACAACGATATGAACGTGTTTGAGCGTGGTATTTTTGGTGTCGCTGCAGGTGAGAACGTTCTTGGAACCTGTAAATAAATGATGAAATGTATTACAGAATTTTATTTTTAATCGTTCTTGATAGAAAGTTACCTCTTCTGGCATTCCGGACATTCGTAAGGCTTTTCAGCGGTATGAATGCGCGAGTGATGAGTCAAATTGATCTTTTGTACAAATTTTTGGCCACATATATCACAGCCGTATTTTTTGTTATCACTATGAATTTTGCGATGCATCCACATGCTGCCCAATTTAAGGCTGAAATGAGACCATAAAATACATATGTATAAAAAGGTATGTTAACTAATTATTAATTGTGCAAAAAATCTTACCATTTGCCACAGTCAGGACATTTTTTCCAAGCATCTTTTCGCGGATCTGTGGAACGATGTGATTTCATGTGCTTCTTTAAAGCTGCTTCTTGTTCAAAATCTTGCTCACACACTGAACATCGGTAGTGTATGCGGTGTCCAATAGCCTCATGCGCAGCGAATTCACCTCGCCCCTGAAGTATGAGCCCATCACAGTCCAGGCACTTAAATACCGGCTCTGGGGTATTGTTACCGGTTTCTTGGGATGTAGGCTCTTTATTATTACTACTACTACTACCAGCGGCAACATCAGGCTTCAATGCTGCCACTATAATGTTATTACTATTACTACTAAAACTTGGTGTATTGACTTCTGGTAATGTAAAAATATTGAAACTAGATGATGAGATCGATTTGTTGCTATTGACTACAACATGATTGGTGGGTACACTTTTTATATCAGTTGTTTTATATTCAACGCTTTGGATATTATCTACAGCCGCATCGTCAAGATGTGTTGTATTTAATTGATACGGCTGACCAATTGCGTTCATATCCTTTTTCAAGTCACGTCTAATTTTCTCCTTAGGCAAGCATCTTTCGGCTTGTCGCTGCTGATCCGACTGCAATGGTTTCATTAAAAGCCGTTTTATCGGTGATGGCGTTGGTGGTGGTGCTTCAGGTCTTAGGAAGGTACCGCTAAAACTGGGTTGAGGCTTTTCCTCCTTTATAACTACACTACTAACAACTTTTGCATCACTATAATTGCTAGAAATGTAAATTTTATCAATACTTTTTGTTTTGTACATATTCCCGGTGTCTGATAACATATCAGGTATAGAAGAATCATCCAGACCATCATCACTTAAACTGGCACAAACCAATTGATGTTGATCATCACTTGTATTTGTCAATTCCAGCTGTGCATTCTGTGCACTTTCATCAAGTACACGCCAAAAATCTGTACTTGAGAGACTATTGGTGGTAGCTAACATAGCTGCAGAATCGCCACTTATAGTAACACAGGCAGACAGATCGATATCTAATGATTCGTCCTTCATATTCGAATCGTAATTGTTGAGACGTAAAAGTGAACTTAATATTTCATCGTTGCCACCCACTTTGGTGGGTGTGCTAGGTGCCAGATTTGTTGGCGGTGCTCTAGGTTTTCGCGGCATTTTTTTGCTGCTTGGCGCTTCTTCTTTCATTCTCGTTTTGATCGTAGGCTCCACTGTTGTTGTTGCACTTGAGGTTATGCGGTTTTTTGTACCTCGATAATATACCGTACACTTGGCGGCTTAAAAACACTAAACACACAAATCACTTAAACGATACGTGCATAGCACAATGCGGTGCCATAAATTTGCAACAATTAAACGCGTTTTATAAAATAATTTCACAAAAATTAAGTTTAATTACAGAATGACGCCTTGTTTATTTTGCCCACATATGGAAGTGTTCGGAAAGTGTTTGATTGCAAACGCCATTTTGACTAGTGCTGCCAATGCATTCAAGTACGTACCGCCTATCAATGCGTTCAAGAATGTATGCGATAGAAATAAATATTATATTTGAAAGGAATTGAGCAGAGAATTTATAAGAATATAAATAATAAAAACATTATATATATTAAGGCTTATTACATTGTACTCTTTTATTCTCTGTTAAGAAAATAATTCAAAGCTACAAATTGGGTGAATTGTAGGAACATAGCTAAATTTTCATCCTCCCCAAAGTGTGCTATAAAAAGGTAATTTTTGCATTAAAAATGTTTCTAGGAATTTTCATAAATAAATAGAATTGTCAAGCAGACAATTAATAATTTAAACATTTATGATTTTGGAAAATAGCACTGCTTTTGTTATAAATTTTCTTTTATTAATTTCTAAATACATATGTATGTGTTTACCTTCTAGAAATACAAGCCAAAACCATGGCTTGCAAATATTCCATATTTAATACTATCCAATCACACACTTCTATTAAAAATAACATTTCCATATGTGTATACATTTGTGTATATGTCAATGTTTCTAGGTATGTATGTATGTATGTACACACAACTGTATAACCATTACATTAAGTGTTTATGTTTGTGAGTTTTTGTGTTCGGCATTTAGCCATTGGAAATTAATGAAGTTGTTCAAATTGCGAATAAAAATTACAAGCAATACATACAAGTACAACATGAATGGCACAACAGTAAAAACAACGACAAAAAATGCATAATACAAAATCAGATTGAACAACGAACAACTTGTTTGTTTACAAGCAAACACACATATGATATATACAGACATACATACATTAAAGCTTACAAATGTACCGATAAACTTACAATCATATCCAGTTAAATTTAATTCACATCAACAACAACAACAAAAGCTGACCCATTCGATATGCATATGAACATACATAAATACAATGAAACTTACATAAATACATATGTTTGTACGTACATATGCTGCATACACGCAATGTACAAAAAAAAAAAATAAGACCCACTAGAAAACACGTGTAGTTTATTAGAGTTAACCTAATTTTGTTTTATTTTTATTTAATTTAATATTTTTTATATCTTTTAAATTAATTTAATTTAATTTATTTTTATATTGTATTAATATATTTATTAAATTTCACCTTTAATTTTAATTTTAATTTTAATTTTTATTATTTTATTTTGTTTGCGTTTATTTCATTTCGTTTCATTTTATTTCTTAGATATATACTTTATACTCTTTAATTAATGAAATTAAAATTTTATTATATTTATTTTTTTTATTCGAATTAATTATTAATTTATTTTATTATAATTATTTCTATATTATTTTATCTTCGTTTGTTTAACTTTATTTTTTGTTTTAATTTATATTCTTTCACTTTTATTTTATTTTCTTATTTATTTTGTTTTTTTTCTTTAATCTGATTAAATTTATTAGGTTTTTTTTTACTTTTATTTAGTTTATTTCCTTTCATTTTATTTTCGTACTTCATTTTATTTCAATTTTCTTAACTTAATTTTATTTTATTTATTTTTTTGCTTCTTTTTAAATTATATAGTTTTATTTTGTTTCCTTTAAATTTATAATGTTATACCCATATTATTTATAATGTTCCATTTTATTTTATTGTGTTTATTTAATTTTATGTTTATTTATTCTGTTTTAATTCTTTTTATTTTTTTATTCCATTTAATTTTTTTATTTTATTATTTTTTCTTTATTATACCCTTTATTATAATATTTTTATTAATTTTATTTTTATTAATTTTTTTGTCTTGTTTCCATTTTATTTTGTTTAATATTATTTTATTTATATTTATTAATTTAATTTATTATAATTTTCATTTATTTAATTACATTATTATATTTTATTTAATTTAATCTGATTTAATTTATTTGGCTTCTTCCTTTACATTTTATTGTGTTTCAAATTGTTTTATTTTTTTCATTTAATTTTCTTACTTGTTTTTTTTAATTTTATTTTTTTCGTATTATTACGTTTTATTGTATTTCCTTTAGATTTATTGCATTATAGTTTATTTTTTTTTTTTTTTTTTCAATTTATATAATTTAATGTTTATTTATATTGTTTTAATTCTTTTTATTTCATTCTATTATTTAATTTTATTTTATTTTGGCTTATATTATTATATTTCTATTAATTTCATTTTTATTTTTATTTTTTTATCTATTTTAATTTTATTTTATTTTGTTTTAGATTATTTTTTATATTAATTTAATTTAATACAAATTTTATTTATTTAATTAAATTATTTTTTTGTTTGATTTTATTTCATTTAATTTAATTTTATTTTGTTTCATTTATTTTATTTTCATATTCATTCATATATATGCATATTTACAGCTGCGTGTAGTACGTGTGTATTGATTCTTGTTGTTGCCAGTTTCGCGTGGGTTGTTTTTGCTTGTTTGTTCACATCGGTTAACTGCGATCATTCTTCGTTTAGTGCATGCCGCCTTGACCATTGAAAGTTTGTCCCTCGAATCGTCTCTACAAACACACACAAACACCCGCTCATATAAACAAGTGGTAAGCTACACAATAATATGTTTGTATGGTTGTTCATATGAGTGAAACCCCTTAATAAGAATTCTGAATGATCCACAGTATCTTGAACTCCTCCTATAGCAATTCCAACGTTTCGTGCAAATGGAGTTCGAAGAGATGAAAGAACATATTCTTCGCTAGATGGACATGCTTAGGTACTATGGTAATCCCATTCGTCATAAGAGGTGGAAGGGAGCAGTAGAATTCGAATATTAATTTGTTTACCTTTCACAAGAGTCCATGTTGTTATGAAAAGGTTCTAAATGTTGACGCCGCCATGAAAATTTATGACTGGTTTTGACCCCAGATGGTACATTGGACTCTCAAAGAAGGTAGAGCTTCGCGTAGAACTGTACTGCGAACTTCAAGCGAGCTGCAACTGCTAAGCTCTCGTCATCTTTACTGATAACCCAAAGCTCGATGATATGAGACTACCATACCCCTAGAGTGTCTTCAAAGCAGAACTTACTTCCTGGAAGTTTCTGAATGGTTTCTCAAATCCATGGTCACAAGCCAATCTACTATTATTTACTCTGACAGCCAAGCTACTGCAACTTTTCCAAGCCAAAAGTGGAAAAGTTTAAGGAACAACCCAGGTAATGAGCTAGCAAGAGAACCACTTTAACCACTGTGAGCTCTGTAATATGACGCGAAAGAGCCAATATCAGTTAGGTATGGACCCTTGCGAGCTAAATATCAAAAGTAGAATCTATTACAAGAGCCACGAATTGCTGGCGAAACGAATCGGTCTGGTAGTGAATGAGGATAACAGGAATTAGTAGTGTCATTTAGAGTTTTCGAAGGGAGAGCGTTTGGTGCAATCCAATATTTTTGCATCTCTATAACTTTATTCCATTTTGAAGGTACTTAATGGCATTATGCTTCTCTCCCTCGAGAAACCCTTGCCCCTATTGGCAAAAAGTTGAGATACACGATTTTCACAGGCTTCTCCTGAAGCCGTTACTTCACCAGCCAAATCATTCGCCATAAACAGGAACTGATATAAATCGCTTAGTGCGAGGTCTGAGAGCTGACGTTGTTTCGATGAACGTTGACGCTAGACACTGCTGGGCGCTTACTTCTTTCTGAAGGTTCAGTTACTGATACTTAAGGTCCGAAGATCATTTGTGCTGGATCATTGCTGTAAGTGGCGCACCTTTCATCACCAGTGACCATTTGCTTCGGAAATGTGCCGGTTTTGTCAAGATTTAGCAACGATTCGCAGATGGAAATCCGATCCATGAGATTTTTTCCAGTTAAATCATATGGCACCCTTACATCAAGCATCTTTGTGTATCTAACCTTTTTCAAGTCGTTCCAAGCGGGTTTTTGTGCAATCTTTAGCTCTTGGACAATAGAAACAGACAGACTCGACGATTGCCATTATATTATCGACATTTCGACATCTTTTTCTTAAAAATTACCGGCAATTACCGGCGCTGAAAACATGTTTATTCGCGCTAAAAGTTTGTCTTTGACAGTTTTCCGAATGATGGACTCGGTAAGATGTGAGCTCTCGTCAAAGATGGACACCAGCAAAGAGAAAATTCGCTTTATTTTACAATTTTCCTTCGATCAAGGCGAAAAAGCAGCCAAAGAGGCTGAAAAAATTAATTTATCATATGGGTCCGATACTGTAAACGAACGTGTAGCACGAAAGTGGTTTGCTAGGTTTCGTTACGGGAATTTCGATGTCAAAGATGTACCACGCGTCGGCAGGCTTGTCGTCGAAAATTGCGATAAAATCATGGAAATAGTGGAAAAAGACCGTTAGGTGAGCACTTATTTCATTGCCGAGCAACTAAGATAAGCTAGAAAACCGTTTGAAACCATTTGCATAACCTTGGATTCAAAAAGAAGCTCGATGTTTGGGTGCCACACGAACTAACACAAAAAAACATGATGGACCGAATTTCCATCTGCGCATCGCTGCTGAATCGCAACAAAATCGACCCGTTTCTGAAGCGAATTGTGAGCGGCGATAAAAAATTCAAAAATTCACTTACGACAACATAGAGCGCAAACAGTCTTGGTCAAGCTCGAGGAATCAGGAAAGTGGCCCAGACCGGATTGAAAGTTTTGCTATGTGTTTGGTGGTTTTGGCAAGGAATCATCTACTACGAGCTGCTCCCCTATGGCCAAACGCTCAATCCGGCTCTCTACTACCAACAAATGGACCGCTTGAAGGCAGTACTCATCTAGACGATGGGAGGTCCTAATGTACCCACCTTATAGTACGGACCTGGCACCAAGTGATTACCATCTTTTCCTGTCCATGGCGAACGCGTATGATGGTGAGAAGTTGGCCTTAAGGTAGGCCTATGAAAATTGGCTCTTCGAGTTTTTTGCCAATAGGGACGCCGCATTCTACGAGAAGGGTATAATGAAGTTGGCATCTCGTTAGCCACAAGCTTACGAACAAAACGGCGCATATTTGAATATTTTAAATCG